GGGGGGAAGGCGCATCTTTCCCATGAGGGCAAGCATGCCGAAGCTGGTTGGGCTGCTTTGCACCATGCTCAGGTCTCTTAGAACTTGGCAGACATGGTTCTTCTCATGAGGAGGGTGGCAGGCACCTCGGGGTCCATGTGGAAGGGCACACAGGGTGTCAGAGAGGATGAGGGGAGCATGCCAGCGTGCCCTAGCCAGCCCTGTTCCTGGTGCGCACGATAATGGTGTGCACTCCCCAACAGCAGACAGATGATGTGATGTGGTGTGGTCATCCAGCAGAGCTGTTGCAGAGCCCAAGGCAGGAGCCAGGATTCCTGGTCCCCAGCCGGCATCTGTCCAAGTGGGCCGTGCAGCTCCCCACACACTCCCTCCGTTGCTGAGGCTCTGGGGCACGACTAAGGGACGGTCATACACTCTGCTCTCAATTAGCAGCCAGATAGGGCTCCTGCTTTCATTGACTCCAGCTAATTAATTTGCAGCATTGATTGTTTTCTGCAACATACTTGTCTCTCATTTAACATCTGGTGCTACAGCTGAGAGCAAACAAATCCAAAACTATACAAGTTAATCATATTGGTATCATAACATGCAACTCCTATTATAAACAGCTGAGTAGTCTTTACGGTTTGCAAGGACCCTACCCTACTCTTTGATCTGCCATAACTAAAGCCTTTTATACCTACAGCTAAAAAGATTCGAGCATTACCGCATATCCCAGAGCCCAGAATATTTGTCCCTGGTCAAGGAAATAAGTTTTAAAAGAAGAATAATTTTCCTTGTTTGTAATTAAGACCATTGCTCCAAGATTAATAAAAAAGGTAGCATATGCATAGCTGAAAGCGTCATCCCTTCTCAAAGCAGGAGAGAGAAACTGCATGGATAACAGAGCACTTATGTAAAAAACCGTCAGAGTGTGAGGCCTTAAGGGACTTCAGCTCCCTTCTCATGCTCCCCCATCCCCTCCATAGTCAGTAGGTTCCTACCTGCAACTCTCAGCTAGGCTTCATCCAGGGACCAAAATAGATAGATCTAGGAAATAAATCCTGAGTGTTAAGTCTGTGAAGATGCAGCAGTTCTGCTAGGAGGGAAGTGGCTCTGAGTAGTCCCCTGTGATGGGACACATGCTGGTACAGGAGGGTTATGTGCTCCAAAAGCCACTGGATAACTCATGGGAAAAGGAAAATAGCACGCTCTAGTGGAGAAATTAATAGAAGTTATTGGAAATCAAATCACTCCACTGCATTGACCAAATGCTCCCTGCTAAGGCAGCTGCACCTTTGTGTCTCTGTCCAGTTTTTCTTCTCCCCTTACCCAAGCATCTCCAGGCACTTATTGCATCCTTTGCCTTTTAAGCAAGGGAAAAAATCACAGGTCAAAAGCAACTGCCCGTGCCGTATACATGCACAAGAGTCCCAGCTCCCTGGTCACCATGAGATTTTCCCAGTAGAGTCCATCCTGACTCTTATTTAAATTCATTCAGAAAAATACATTTCCCTTGTATTTCTCACATACCTTTAACGTAAGCTTAAAGTGTGAAAACTTGCTATATTCTGCCACCTTCCCCACTCTTCCCACCCACACCCAGCCTCAGGGTCCAGTACCTCCAGTTTAGGGCTATTTGTCTTTAAGGGACCCAGAATTGCGTCTCAGAATTACAGAATCACAGAATGGCCAAGGTTGGAAGGGATCCTTGGAGATCATCTAATCCAACCCCCCAGCTCAAGCAGGGTCATCTACAGCACACTGCCCAGGATTGCGTCCAGGTGGGCTTTGTACATCTCCAGGGGAGGAAGGGTCCTCTCGTGCAGGCTTGCTACATGTGCTTGGCACACCACATGTGTGCCTGGCGAACCACACACATGTCCATGGAGCCCATAAGCTGGGTAGCTGGAGGGGTCCTTCCCTCCTTCTCCCTTCCGCTGTCATCCAGCGGAAAACTCCATTAACATGGAGAACTCATTACTGGCTAAACCAAGACACTAACCAAATATTAGTCACAAGCATTAATGAAACAGATAATGAGGTGCTTAGATCCCCAGCTCTGATTGAAACGAGTTAATCACATCTCATTGCTCAGAGACCCATTAATTCTATATACATGCAAATGTTTCCCTTTCCTTGGCTTATTACAGGCAATAAAAACATTGTTCCAGCTTCATTTACTTATGCCTGCTGGATCTCCCTGCTTAGCTGTTAAACCACATGCACGTGGGTCAGATTTGCAAGAGGTGACAAGGAGCAAATCTCCCTGGACCACAGAAAAGCCACGGTTGAGGGAGCTATCACCAGATGGACGGCACACACTTTTGGGGAAGGAGGTGGTACGCCAACACAAAGAAGCAAATACAGCTGCAACAAGGTAGTGTTTACGTATTGCTGTGGGTGTTGGAAATGGAAGTTTAAAAAAAAATCATTCCAACTCCTACAGTAACAGAAGTTAAACTTCCACTGGAGATTTCACTACAAATTCAGAAACAGCTTCTGCAAGGGCATGTAAACTGCCCCTGCCTGCACTCCTTCTGAAGAAACTCCTTTTTTAGTATTTTTTGGTTTTATTTTGTTTTGTTTGTACATATGCCTTGCAAACGTGTGGAGAAACAGCTAACTGAAGAGAGTTAACTGTGGGATGAGAAATTGGGAAGAACAAGTAATTGAGTTAGCTTGGTGCAGTTGCACTCCAAAGACTTGATTTTCTCAAGGTGGCATTGGTATTACCAGCTCTTAGATTTAGGAAAAGGTCTTAGGACCTATATCTCTATATATTTTTAAGTCTCTAGCTTATTTTATTCTTGCGTTCTAGGGCATACATGCTCAGCCCTAAGGCCTGCTCTCCTGCCATACTGGTAAGAAAAGCATCCAGGACTTGCGTTTTGAGGAGTGTCTCTGAAAGATGCTTTGTTCTGCCCAAAAGCCATCACTGGCCTAATTCAACCCTGGCCCACATACTTTGACTGACAAGACAAATTGCTAAAACACTTCACTTTGTTTCCAGAGGTTTTCTAGAAGCTCTACTGACTTTATTTTTATTTAGCCAATCTCAACCTTTACTTCTGTTTATTTCTTTTTCCTTGTCTACCTATTCAAATCAAAGCCTCAAATAATAGAGCCTGTGAGCTTGCAAAACTTCTCTCTTTGAAGAGCTCTCCAAAGTCCTGACCATGAACCTCTGGTCATCAGCCATTCTCATCACTGCCAACGGGAGGCTTAGCACCTCACCAGCTTCTCGGCATGCTCACTGAAGCATGCATGCTGTCTGGTATCTGGTGGTGTGGCCTGCTGTTTATCACTGGAGTCTCTGACGATGTGGAAAAAGTGACAATTCTGAGGAATGTCCTGTCTCAGTAGGACTACTAGTGTCACCAGTCTGGCCAAATTCCTGTATAGATATGTTGATGTTCTGCTGTTCAAAGGCTACCTTGGAAACTCAGGAGAAAAGCAACATGTTACATTGTCTACAGGAGAAAATTAAACTGAAAACGTAGAAATTTACCTCTGCATAGAAGTTCCTAACCTTGGAGAACTTTCCACTGAGTGAACCACACTTCATTTCACAGTGCCCAAAGACAGCAAAATGTAATGAGTTCTGCTCTTTGCAAGTCTGCTTGAAAGGAAAGTGAAAATCGAGATTTTAAAGGTGGCAAGGGACTCCCTTTTCCTTCGTTGGGTTTAATTGCTATCCTGAATGTGAGCCATCAAAGGAACCCATGCCATGAACTGAAGTCATACTGTTCCTCTGTGGGTACTTTTTTTCAGCTGATGGTATAAGCAAAGTCCTTTGTCCAACTCCCGTGGTTGGTCCATCTGTCTGGATGTTGCTGCTACTGCTGCTGCATGTCTTACTGGTCTCAGGAGTCTTTTGATTTTAATTTTATGTAAATTACATTACTGACAAAGTCATTTCAGACCTGAAAGTTGCATTTCAGTGCACTTCTTGTGAGTGGACATGAAGCCAAGTACAAAGTAGTTTTCAAGAGCAAGCTGCCAGTGTTATTTTGCTTTGCTGGGGCTGAAACTTAAACTTCACTCTGGGAGGGGAGAATGATTTGTAAACATATTTCTGATGATTTCCTTGATGGTGGGGAAGTGTGTCAGAAGAGGGGAGGGGGGATAAAGCTTCATTACACTATTATGTGACAGAGGAGGTGCTAGAGCTACTGAAAATGTTATAGGAAGATGATGAAGGGTGGAAATAAAGAAACATCTTTGATTTGATTACAATAAAAAATTTATTTTGATTCATACCATAATGAAAACTTAAATAAATAAAATGTCAAAGAACGACTGAGTGAGACTCCCCACAATCAGAGCAAATAAATGATTATCATAATTGATCATGTATTCAAAGAAAAATAGGAAGAAAATCTAGTCATGGAAGAAAAAAAGTGCTCAAGAGAGTTGGCTTTGGTTAAAAACACAATACACTCAAGGAGTGCTTTAGAGACTTTGCAGTGGTGGCGAATACAGTTCAAGAGTTTGAAGCCTTGGCAGGTTGTTAAGTGTTTTCCTTTGTTTTTCTTTTAAGCAACATAAAACCAGAGTTCCTAGCAGAAAGTCTTCAACTCTGGCAGAGGGAATGAATTGTTCCTCCAGCATCGTCTGTTGGTGTCTCTTCATTCTGAAGGCTTTTGAGTGAGCAGAGAAATTGCGGAGATACTGTAACAAAAGATCTAACATTACAACAGTCAGTTGCCTAAAAGACTCCAGTAAAAGTCCCTCTGGAATAGAAATGCAATGGCGTAGACTGTTCCTCATCCTACATATCGAATCAGGTCCACTTTCTGCTCTTCTGGTACTCTGAAAAATGGTATCAGTGGTACACAGTTACTGCTTGCAGCCAGTAAGAAAATTAAATGGGAATTGCAGTTTGTTCCATGATGAAGACGCTAGACCTGACCAGTACAGTATGAGCCAAGATATTGCATATGCACCGTCAGAGGCAGAATATTCAGAGAAAAATTGAAAAATTGGACGGTAAAAGGACACTTTCGAAACAACACAATCAGAATTTAGCTGATCTTTGATCGTTTTCCTTGATCTCAAATGTCCATCTGTGATCAAAAATCAATAGGAACTGGGTACCAAACTACTATGACTGCTCTCCCAAGTCTTTCCAACAATGACAGAAACAGCAATGAAATGTTTCTGAATTATCAACATCTCTCAATTAGAAAAGAAATTGAAATATTTAATATATAAGTGCTCATGATGCAGAAAGTAGCTCCAAAATCCAGCCACAGAGTGAAGATACTTTTGGAGTCTTCCATGGAGTCTTATTTCTCCTAATACACCTGTTTTGCTTGAAATCTCTGTATTATTTTCTCACCAGAAACATATTGATTTACAGTAATTTCAACACTGAGAACGTTTAAAACAAACAAACATGATTCAGGTAGAAAATTGTCATTCTTTTACAAAAGGTGTTTAGCAGATACTAGGTTTGTTGAATTTTCTCCTCCTGCAACATACAAGTGAATAGTTCTGTTACCCACCATGCTAGGAAAGGGTTTCTTGACATAAGGATCATGAACGAGTCTCAGCACGAAAGCTGGAGAATCCTGCCCTTTCCATATTGCTAAACTGAAGGGTTACGTGTGTGCAGTGCGGGAGCTCAGTTCCCCGTTCAGAAGTTTGGCATCCTTGGCTCTTCATATGCTGTGAGTCCTGTAGAAATACTCATGTGGGTAGAGCAACTGCTGGCAAGGGGCACTGAGGCCGGAAATAGGTCGACTCCAGCTGGAAATAGGTCAATAATCCATGAATCCTATTCTCAAAATACTAGGAAGCAGTTCCCCATCGTCCATCACCTGAACTTTGTTCTTGGAGCCATACTTCATATAACCTTGAGGATCAAATTCTAGCAAAAATCTGTGGATCTAAAATCTCCATTGTCACTTCCCTCCTCTCACTGCCTGCAAGTACTGACATTAATATACTGATTCCTCCAGAGATGCACATAATTTAGAACTCTGGCCTACACTATACAACCAGCGTGTGTAGAGCATGTCCTTGTGGATGCTGCTACAGTGCTAAGACTTCCTATTATATTACTATCTATTACTATATTGCCACCCATGATATTTCTTCTTCCATTTCAAATCTCATCTCATGTCTTGTAAAGAGATACTACTTTCCAAATTTATAAAAAAATAAGAGGAAAAATTTCCTTGGAACTTTTGGGTATTTTCCCATAAAAAAGGTACAAGCTACCTTTAAAAATTTGCCTTATTTGCATTTGTTCAAGTACAATATAAGAGCTATTATTATTAGTTTTAACTACAAAATATACCACATGGAGGCTAAACTTTGGTAAATTTTCTCCCCTTTTATAAAAAAGTTTAATTAGGGTTCGTTATCTTAAAAAAAAAAAAAAGTACATCTGTTGCACAATTATAAAAGGCACATGTAAATGACTGAAAGAAAAACAGTCCACTTCCCAACCTTAAACTGGATTGATTAAATAAAAATCAGCACTCCAGAGTATTTTCCACCCCAAAAAAAGAATTTAAAAAATATATATAGCCAAAGAAGACAAACAATCAAGTAGCTAAAAAGGCCATTTTTTGCTGGAGTTTTCAGTATTGTTTTCTCCTCTCATTATGGCTGTATAGGAAGCAATATTAAATAATGCACGATCAGAGATGATTTGATTCATATCATTTTTAGATGCTATCAATGCAGACTGAGGCATTGGCGGAAATAGTTATTACTGCAGGCAACTTCATCACATTTTTGCTTAATATAATATAAACCCAGAAGTAATAGAGGAAACTGAAGAGATGGTTCAAAAAGAAGACTAACAGCAGAAGTGAATTCATTTTTTTGAGGTAATCCTTACTATGATGTTCACAGCTACCCTAGTGGGTGTCAAATCCCAGAAGTTGTTTTCACTTTTCTTCAAGGATTTCCTGCCTTACTCAAGGAAAGAATGGACACACAAATAGCAGTTCCCGTGTCCAGGTTTCCCTTAATTGCAACAGGAAGATTTTTCATCAGTAATTCAGGAATTAAGCCGTAGAGCCTAAGCAGTGATTCAGCATATCATTTATCCCCAGAACTGATTGGTAGGTCCCAGCTATTTGTAGAAGGAAATCAAGTGCAGCTGGGAACCTGGTCTTCGGACGAGCTCCATGCAGTGATCACTGCAGCAGTGAGACACGCCAAATCCACCACAGATTCAGACACTCAAATCTGACTGGCTTCCAGATCATCTTCACTAAATTGCATTCTGCTGCATGCTGGAAATTGCAGCCCCCACTTCACCCCGTGGCAAGGGTCATCTGCCCTTGAAAAAATTAATTTTTTCAATGGAGGCAAGAGTCAAAGTTATATTGAACTCAAAATCCCCATCATGGACACCTGTCTGCCGGAAAGCCCCTGCTGAAAGGTTGTTTTCCCAGTAGTGATGCCAGTGTCCCCTGCTGTCTGCTCCAAAACCATACACATTCACCTAGGAAGTGAGAGAGAATTACGGTTATGGCCTGGAAGGCCTTGGTCTCTGTCAGAAATGTTGAAGAAACTCTCAGCTTATCTATATCCAGCAGGACGTTAGTAGGTAGTGGGCCACTGCACTTGGTGATGCAACCACAGAATAGTGAGCTCAGGCCTGCCCAAGGAACATTACACCCTAAGCCATCCTGCAACCACAGAATAATGAGCTCAGGCCTGCCCAAGGAACATTACACCCTAAGCCATCCTGAGACCATCACCGCACTTGAACCCAGGCAGAAGAGGAAGTTTCTATCTGTGACCTTCTGTTTACCATTTGGGGGAACAGGTGGTCCGGTCCCCTAAAGATGATGCCTGACTTCAGGAGGTCAGGGTCTTAGGATGGTAATCTCTTTAGTGCATTATAACCACAAAGAGTAAAAATATATTTGTTCTTGCTCCTAGTTTTCAAAATGACAACCCACATTGAGTCATATTTAGGTGCTTAATTACATGACATTTACAGTCACTTCCATGAGATCCAGAGGCAGAGAGGCACTATGTTCTTTCTGTGGGTATACACCTATGGCCTCTCCTCTCCCAGCTGTTCATTCATTGATGGCTAGGTCTGTCTCCTCGGGTGAAAAAAGTCAAAATATGACAGCTGACTTTATTTAAACTGTGAGTGGCGATACGGCTCGGTTTGAATGGGTCACAGGCCACAGGACAAGCACTTCAACATACCCACACCTGGGCCCACCCAGATGCAAATTAGCTTTAAATTATTTTTGGTAGTGCCAAAGCCTTTCTCACTGCCTGTTCACTAGACACCAGACTCCACCCTAGCTGCCCTTCCTGACTGCCTTGACTGTTAACAGTTTCTGCCAGCATAATTTGGAGTTTTTCTACTGGCATAGTGCCATCACCTCTCCAAGCAACCCAGGCCAAGATGACAAAAGCTCTCTTTTGTCAGCAGAGTCGTGTCCAGGCCAGGATTATGATTTTATCATCTCCTGTCCTGACAGGTCTGTGCTTGCAGGATTTTGTAGAGCTGATCTGGCCTTAAACTAACTAGCTAAGACTGATCACTTAGGAGCACCTATCATCCCCGAGCCCAGGACCTTCTTCAAGTAACTCGTGGAGTGGAAGGATTTACCATAACCGGCTGTGTAAACCCCCAAACCTGGGAACTGAAAGGAACTTGAAAATGGACGATATGCATTCCCAAACCTGGCTTGCATGAGAGTTGTTAATCAACGTTCTTCAGCTGGGATTAAGTTTAAAGTTTAGTTATCTAAATAGAAGTGTCTGAGTGCCCTCCAGAGAGTGACCCTGCTCCCCTAATGTGTAACCATCAGGCTGGTTTACTGAATCAGTCCCTTGGCTCCACTGATTATATTAATAAGAATTCAATTCATGCTCAGACATAAATGCTGTTTGAGATTCCCTGGGGTATTCAAGACGTCTACCCAAGATGGGTAGATATCACACAGGACCAAGAGACCTGCATCCTTTTGGCCGGGCAGCTGGAAGCAGGTGGCAAGCTCAGGGTGACACTAATGGCTCTAGGTGCCTAAATGGTCAGATAAATTATAAGCTGGGCCACCAGTGACTAAACGGATCCATAGACACCTAATGTGGACATAGACGCCATTAGGTAGACATCTATATTTACATGTCTTAATGTCAAATGGCATCTTACCCTTTAAGGTTGATTATATTTCTCTGAAATGTATCTGAAGCACTACCACTTACTGACATCACAAAATAAATCATTGATAGTTGAGCACATCTGCATGTTACTGAGGACCCTGCATCTGATTGCCTCCTGAGAGGCAAATGGTAGAGAAGATGGAGATGCGCCAATAAAGGATGAGTGAGTGACCCAGGCGTGATCCTGGCACCTCAACAAGAAATACATTCTCTTGTGCTATCTCCATATCCAAACGCACCAGCCTTTACCTCATCGCACACATGGAGTGCAAATATCAGTGACAGAAGGCCTGTGGAGGGGTATCTCCCATGATTCTGGAGCCAGTTTTCATAGACATACTTGATAAAAGCTGGGTTATAAATCAGGATCTAGGGAAAATTGGAGAGATGGGTTCATTAGTAGAATACTTTGGGTAAAAAAAAACAATAGTAGCATTTAATTTCTAAAGGACACCAGTGTAAGAGAGTGGGGGAGACAGCAATGATGGTTATTCCCTGACAGCAGGTGCAAGTGAAATATAGTCACACAGTTAAATGCATTCAAAACATGTCCCATGTGCAATTAGATGACTATTCCTTCTTAGGACTTGATACTCTGCCTGCTTACATCGATGTAAATCCTGAGTGATTCCTATTGAAATCAATGGCTATAAAGTGGCACAAGTGAGAAGAAAAACAGACATTCAGTTTTTGCGAAAAGCCGCAGACAGAATTTTCACTGCAGTGTCCTGCTGCAACAGAGGAGGACTCTGGGGAGTTTGAGGCCTGAGAAAGGAAATGTAAAATGCCAAGACAGATTTGAGTGGGAATGCAGGAGCAATCGCATCTTCTGCACAATGTGCCAATCATATCTTGGCCTTTCTGTAGGTATAGGTCATGGGGAACCTGGGGTTCAGGTATAAACTATCAGAAAGTCTATCAGACTGTGCTAGCTGCACTTCTCTTTCCCAAGTATGCTCTTTTTCCGTGCCTTATTTTCTGCAAGACATAAATCACACTTGATTATCTCCTGGGGAAATTATGGGGGCCACATAATGGGGATAGAACACATAAGATTAGAACCGAGTGAACAGTGAATCCAATAACTGGCGGGAGCCTTTGGTTTCAGACCCTTTCCCTGAATCAGGCAAAGAGAGGTTTTGCCATCAGCTCCGCGCTTCCATGCTGCGTTTGTAATTAGAGTGACACTATATCAGTGCTGTCTGGTTAGCTGCAGGGCTTTCCTTTTTACAAAGTCAGAGGCTAATTGCTGATATTGTATCTGTGTGTAATCGCTTCTCACGGGGCGTTTTGCATTGCACAGCGTGGGAGGAAGTACAAGTGTACTGTCTCCCTTGTTGGGAAGTTGCTCTGTACAGAAGGCCATTCCCTAGGCTGGTGTTACCGGCTAAATGGTGACATCAGTTTAACAACTTGCCGGAGGGCATCTCACAGGGGTTTTGCACAGGTTAACGCGTCCCTCATAACAGGTAGGGATCAGCCAAATGATTATTTTACACCCTACAGAAATCCATAGCTGAAGTGCGGAGATATAAAGTGATACCGGTTGAAAGGTCTCATCTGAAGCTTTCGGCAAAGCCTGGCCTCCTGAATGATGGACATATGCCTTAATCAGTACGAGCAGCTTTCAGGCATATATTTAAAAATAGGTTCTATTTTTAGCAGTGAGGCAGCTACCAATCATTTGTTGAATGCATCACATATGTTTCTTCTGTAGCCTTCTACAGAGTGAAGCAGATGGGTCAGGAGAAACAGAGGGAACCTGTGCCAGGGCAGCAGTGCCTTAGAGAAGGTGTGCACAGCAATGGAGTGCTGATGGTCCTTTTGCATGCTAGAAAGGTAGCTTGGTGCAAAACTCTGTCCCTTTCTACAGGGCGTCCGCGATCTTAATGCTCTGTGACTGTAAAAGCCCTGGAGACACCGGGATCCTGAGTTCTTCCACACGTGCACACCGTGAGAGGCAACGGGCCAGAGACGTTTCTTTAGCGCTGGGGCAAGTGGCATGGCATAAACTATGTCCACATAGCTAAATTCTGTCCCTATCCAAAATGGGGCATATTCCCAGGCCTGTACTACCTACCAAACTGTGCTCTGGCATTGCCCGGGAGAGTATCAAAACCGTGCCAAGAACTGCACTAACTGTTAAACAGTATGGCCTTGGCTTGAGCCCAAGCTTCAGGCTTGTTTAATTTGATGTTAGTACACTCGCAGCTATGGGCCTTCCCTAAGAGCCATTGAAGCCATCACAAGCTCTCCACTGACTTGAAAATACACAGCTTTTTATTTGTTTGGAGCTCACAGAGCTCCTTACTGTAAGGAAGCATCCCAGGAGCAAGAAACATGCTTGAAGTTCAGAGAGTCAAATTATTTTAAAAATATCTCCAAAAACTTTCCGCAGCTCAAAGTATCATTACACCCCAACGACTGCAACAAGTGGAAACAGAGCAGCTGCTGCGGAGGGCGAGTGCTGTTAGCCAGCAGAGAACCTTTCCTCTCCCTTAGCGGTACCAGAGGGAGCAATGCAACCTTCAACACTGGCCCTTGCACCATAGCATAGTCACAAGATTAATTTCTTCCCAATTTCAGTTATACAGTGCCCAAATTATGGCCGGAATGGCACATCAAGAAATAAACTTTTAGTTTAGCTAAGCCTTGCAAAGAACGTGTATTTTTGTTTGCCTTTTTATGAATGTGAAAGACTGCCTTGGATTCTTGCAATCTCCCAAAGAGGCAAAAGATCTACAGCTGGATCAGCAGAACAAACTAGCAGACCAGCATTGCTCACCTTTTCTTTTTTGACTTTGATTTTTCTTGGAACTGGAACGTAGGTGCTGTTAAAAACAAAAAAACAAAAACAAAAACCCCAACATTTGGATTAGTAAAAGTCCAACATATTAATATTTTCAAGTATTTCCAAGAATATTTCTCATTTTGAGTAATAAATCCAAGTGATTTGAAAGTACTATGCCAGATAATTTGCTGTTAAATGAGGCTGCAATTAAATAATGAAGCGGTAAAATGAACTGAGCTTTCATTGAGGCAAAGTTTATAGGGAGATGTTACTTTTTTTTTAATTTTCAAGGTAATTATTGACAGTAGGATGCCATGACTTTAGTTGGCAATATACTATGCAGTCAATATTACACAGAACCCAAGACTCTAATTCTCACACCATTACAGTTGCAGTAAATCTATTATTTGCATTAAAGACAGGAATGGCTTTCAGTTTAATACCATGGCAGAAAAGCCTTTTCCCACCAGAGGGAGACTTTTCCCCTTTCAATACTTGCAGCTGATACACGATTTTCAGAGTAGGTGGTAGCAGAGTTCATGATTTCTGTGGTTATGTGCAACCGGCGCATTCCCAGTTCATTGCCCCGGACTGGCAAGCTGTCCCCTTCCTCCAATCGCTGCGGGAAGCACAAGGTTGCCAGCAGTTCCTACCAAGTCATACCTTATGACTGGGTCAACATCACGAGTCACATCCTGAAAACAAACAGGCAGTTCTTCCCCATGTCCCATGCACAATGGACGCTGGCACTGCATGGCTGATCACATGCGTGGTGTGTGAAAATCGCCTTGAGTTTGCTTCAAGTGCAAAAATGCTGGTGACTTGGCCTTGTTGCTGGAGCACATCCCCAGACATACCCTGCATGCTTGCTAAATGGGTCCTTACTCCACATGAGGAATCACCACAGAGCCTTCCGTTAGTTCAACCTAAATGTTTACGCTCGATTTTTGATAACAAGAAGGATTCTATCATTAAGATTTAATACCCTCCCAAAACAGCAGTGACCCAGCTCTGTCCTTGTTTCCTCCGGGTATCCCAGAAACTTGCAATCCCTGCTCCAGGCTCGGTGCGCTGGGAGAGGTGACAGGAGTATCCAGCCCCCGGGATGTGACGTGGGACATGCACTAGGGTGGGCAGCGCTAATGGAAAAGGGGAACAAAAGGGGAACACCTGCAGACCTCTTTGTCTGCCCTCAGTAAATTTGCCCTTGAACCTGCTTCTCATGCGTCACCTTGGGTAGCAAAACTGGCAGAAGTAGGCTTGCTGATCCCACATCCTTGTTGTGGTTACGAGGACAAAAGTGTTTCTTTGCTGGCAGAACCCCTCATTACCTTAAAAATAAATAGCTAGTCTTTTCTAAAAAGGCAATGCGGAGGAAACAAGGGGACATATTTCATTGATGACTAGCCATGTACAATACAAAACCAATGAGAATTATGTGCAGTATTCAAGATGGTATTTGCAGATAGCTCTAATCCGACAAAGAGAGTGCTGTGGCTTTGGTCAGATGATATGTCATATATGTCATATGATATAGTTATTTTAATCATGCGGTATTCCTTTTTTTTTTCAGAAGCAATGCCCAAATCCAGCTGTCACTTAGCTGTAGAATTTCATACAACTGCATAAGAAGTTTTGGTATGCTGCTTAAGATCAAATGGAGACCTATCATGTTACAATCACACAAAACCTGGGATGCATAGAAGCCAGGGAGTTAGTGACCCGGCAAGTACCACACCGGAGCGATACACAGAACGAAACCTGTGATGAAGGAGGCTTCAGGTGGAATTCATATAATCTGGAAAAAGTCGCAGACGAGTCACTTGGCAGGGCTCTAGTGAAGTCTGCCAGCCTCACTGTATGCTTAGCAGAGGATATCTACCGCACCTTTAACCAAGGACAAAGATGTGGAACATTTTAAGGAACACAGAAACCACTCTTTGGTAAATCCAATGGAGATGCATAGGGCTTTTTTCACTACGGTGCTTCCTAGCAGACTTGCAGACTCTCCCTGCCAAGGTAACTAGGCTCACTATATGACTGATGAGGGCCTGGAGGTTTTTGCCCCCAGGCTTTCCACAGGTCTTTCCTAGGACAAAGCTCAGTCTTAGAGATCTACATTGAAATGGGAGGTCCTGTCAACCAAATGGGAGATGCGTCTGACGGATTATAATTTTATTTGGTCTCTTCTCCCCTTTACAAATGTATACAGCAATTTTCTTATATATTGCATCTGTCATTGTGTTTGCTTAATGTACGCTCACCGGTTTAATCTATTAGTCTAAAATTATGTAAAATGTATTGTTATGATTTGTGTGCCTATGATTTTCTGGTTTTATTACTCCAACATGTGCCAGCTTATTAATTATGCAATTTCCCTGCTTTGAGTTCTGCAGAAATCTTAAAATATTGGTATTTATTCCATGTGGTTAAATACTTATTAATAATTTATAGCAGATACTTACCAAATCCATGTGATACTACCTAATTATAAATACATATCTTGTATCTTACTAAGCAAAAATGTTTTGCCTGTATGTGCTGATCTCTACTCTTGTGATTGCCTTGTAGGCAACTAGTCATGTCTTCTAACCGGGCTAAGGGCTCACTCAACTTTCCTGCTGCAATCCGCTTGCTCCAGCCTCTGAAGCCACATATTCACAAAAAGTAGTGAACGGCTTTGCGCTGTGGGCACAGAACAGTTACACTGACTGAAATGCGGACAGGTGACACCCGTGGCAGGAGGTCCTCTGCAGGCTCCTCTTCCTACCACAGGTAGGAAGCTGTGCAGCAGGTGCCAGGACTGCAAGATACCACCAAAGGGCTCTTGGGGCTGGAGTGGGTTCAGGGCACTTCTGTGCTTCAGGAGGGGAGCCAGTGCGCTTCAAAAGGCTGCTGGGCACTGGGGTTGACGTAGGACATTGCATGCAAGAGTTTTGCACCCCTGAAAGTGTGACCCTTGCGAGCCAGGCTGCAGCTCTTTAAGGAAAAAATCCTGCTGCTGTTTTACACGGCTTATTGGTGTGCAAATATTTGCAGGGCTGATGGTGTTTTCAAAGCATTGTAGTATATGGAAACAGTGCTCTATGAACTAATAAAAAACAGTAAATAATTGACTCCTCACTCAACGCTCCTTGTTAATGAAGCAGATTAAGGAATCCCATTATATTCTCTGGCAATCAGAATAGAGCTGCAGATGGAGGGACAACCTCCGGGCATGGGGCAGAAACTAAAAGTAGCTCTAGAGACCCAGCTCACTGATTTGACAAAGATGTAACAAGGGGCTTGATCCAAAACCCATTTAATGCAGCTGGAAGCTTTTCATGGATTCTGTTAGGCTTTGGAGCCAGGCTTAAGGACAGAGCTTCTCACCTATTTTTATCAATAGAGCTTACTAAAGAAAAAATGTAAGCCAAAAGTCAGTGATTTTTTTTTTTAGCTGATTTTCTAAGTAGACTAATTTTTATGAGTTTTAAATGTTGCCTGAAGATGGATTTCTTTAAGACAACTTATGACTGGATACACCAAGCGCTGGTGCCAAAAAATAAAAATACTAAAAAGAAACTAAAACACATTTGTAGTAAGTTAAGAGACTCTTAATATGCTAAGACTTGAAAAGGATCTAAAGGGCTTTTGCAAAGAGAAGAAGAAGAGAAGAAGGAGGAACAAAAGTCCATTCGTTGTCCCATCAAAAAAGTTTTCTCTTAAAAATGTGAAGCAGGTCAAATCCCCTTTCAATAGGGACACATTTTTGCAAGTTTTTAATCTTCTAAGACTCTGAAATTAGAAAAAAGTTGAAACATTTTGAAATACTTTCTCTGAAATACAATAGTCTGATATGCTCCTGCTCTCTACGTGCAGCAGGAAGTAGGGCACTGCTGAGCAATCCCATGAGGTCATGGCTTTACAAACAACAGATAACCTCATATAGAGTACAAATATCAAAAATTTCATTCTCTGGATTAGGAAAAGCCAGCTTAGAGGAAGGGAGAGAATTTGCTAGCGAGTGTCCAGAAGAAACATGCATTTTGTTCATATTTCTAATTCTAGTGCTGCCATAAATGTATTTGCAGGACAGCGTTTCATCCCAAAAGCACTCATGAAGAAGAAATAGAGTATAAATATCAGTATGGCACATTATTGCCAGGTAAAATGTGATAAATCGAGGCTAAGGTACACAAGACACACGTGAAGGAAGGATATCGCCTCTGCACGTCTTTCAATCACCACGAGCCACGCTACCACAAGACAGCTTGCAGCAGCTTAATATTGATCCAGCGAACAGCTCGCCCCTCGGCCGAGAGGAAGCACAGCGCAAGTTCATGGCTTTCACCTGGCTTAGCTGAGGCAAGTGCAGAGACCACGGAATCAATGGGAAAAGAAAGAGGAAAAAGCCAACAGAGGAGACACAGTGTGACCCTCCATTTGTCGTCTGTCTGTGCCTTTATCTTCCCTCACTTTTCTCCTCTTGGTTTCTTTGTTTGGGGGTAAAACAAACAAACAAACAAACAAACAAAACTTCTTTTCCCAGAGATATTTAGCAAACACTTTGACCAAACACACAGAAATGCTGCTTATGCCTCTTCTGCCATGCGGGCGACACAGTCCCTCTGCCCTCCTTCTTCAGGGGCAAACCACCCTGGACCCAGTATTCTCCCTTCCATGTCACCACCATCCTCCCTCGCAATGTCCCAGGAGGAGGAAGCCCTGCTTTTCCCAGGAAGGGTGGAGGCAGCGTTGTTCCTCCTGGGTCTAGCGCTCTGGAAAAGACCCAAATCATGTAGGCGACAGCTTACAAGTGCTTCATCTTCCATCTCTCCCTCTCTCTGCTGCAACTTATCCCAAAAGCTCCCTCAGCCACTCATTCCTCAAGCCAGCAATTAGCACAGATCTAATCCAGCAACATCTCCAAGGCACTGTTCCCCCTGTACATTTAAGCTCTGAAACAGGTTGGTGCCAGACCGCCCGAATGAGAGACAATTTCCCACCAGGAAATTAAAATCACACAAGATGGATAACTCTAATGCCAGCTTCGCTCTCTGAAGCAGGCAGAAGGCAAGGGGTGAGAGGCTAAGCCTGACGGGACGAAGAGAGAGAAAGGCTTTGAAGGGGCTCTCCAGCCCAAGAGTGATTCTCAGGGTAACGCCTCCCTTTCATTAGCACTACATCCTTCAAGAAAAATAATACCCTGGCACAGAGCGAGCTCTCTGATAGATGGATCTGGCGTTATCCAGAGAAACACCACAAGCGTGAAGCCCTCAGGGGCTTCCTGAGGAGACAGGTGAGAGATCAGTGTCCTTGTTTGCCACCAGGAAAGACAGATCAAACTCCTGACTAACTTGCCCAAATGAGGTCAAGCGGGGCCAGAGTGCTATGATCCCTTTTCTGCCTCTGCTTTCACGGCCTTGCGTGAATAAAATCTGCATCCCTCTCTGCCTCCATATCACCTTCTACAAATAGGATAATGTATGTTGGAGGACTACTGAGACACTGCTCAGAGTGTCACAAGTGGAATTCTCTGGGTGTCTAAGACTGCTCCGGAATGAATGACCCACCAAACCACTGATTCTGCAAATGGATTTCTGCTGGGTACGGGCACATTGACTTCACCTGCTTTATTTCCAAAGCTACATGAGAGAAGAAAGGATGAGGAGAAGCCCCAAATTAGGCACTCTATGTCAAAGCCCAGGAAGTAGGTTGTTAAGGTGCCCAACTCCAGCAACAAAAGCATCCCCTTTCATTTTTTTGAGATCATTGTGTAGGGCCAAAGAAGAGCTGGATCTGGATCGTCACCTAAAAAACTGCACCTTAATATCAAATTGTTCCTAGAAAGTAAATTTTCAGGATAAAATTCTGCTCTGAGAGGGTCTCTAAAACTCCCCTACCCTTATCACAAGTAGGGGTTAGCCCAGTGTGAACTTTTTTCTTCTGTGGCAATGTGAGATGCGTGACCACCCCTCCTGCCAGCCCACTTGCAGGCTATGGTTACTCACAAGTTGATGGTGCCTGTGGTGAGAGCAGTGACAATCCAGCGCAGGTCCAGGGTTTTGAAAGGTATCATGATCATGCTCACATTTTCTGCCAACTCTTTGTAGCTTTCGGGGTAAACAAAGTGGTGAGTGGTCTTGCTGCCAACATCTGACTCAAAGCCAGCAGTGGGGGCACGATTCATTCTGCAACCCCAAAAAAATAAGCAAGAGAGTCAGAAAGCGGGAAAGAAATTAGGTAGGAACAAACATGTTGCTTGAGGTGTCAGGAGAATACTCCCATGGCTAAGGAGAGTGCTATATGCAGACTTGCCATACTGCCTTGACAGGATGCAAGGGTCGTCAAGCAGGCTGAAATGACCACCACCCACAGAGGATAAAAGCGAATGAAAGCTAGGCTTTAGTGTGAGATTCCTCTGACTGACTGGGAGAGTCTGCAAAGAAGGTGTTTCTCTAAGTCCTTGGGTCCCTTTTGTAGTTAGTGGAGAGCAGATCAATAGAGGCTGATTCTGTGAAGGCACAGCTCCTTTAATCCTGAAATTGCTGCCTCCAGTAGGTAGAAAAATAGTACCCTGAAGTCCATCAGCTACATCTCTTAAATTTTCATTCCCACCCATCTGTACAGATGTACTGCAATGACTAGGGTCAAGGTAATAAACAACATCATACGTGATGAAAAATAGTAAATAATCCTCATGGTCCTCCCATGACAAGGCACCAAAACCACAGTGAGAAGCCTGGTACAGACACTTTATTTACTCATGCCTTACATTACAGCGCGTTCCCCAACTTAGATAATCCACTGAGGGAATGAGGGATCACTCCTAAATCAGCTCCACAGTCTCCTAGTATGTCAGCTAGATCCAGCAGCGTGGTCTTTCAGTAACCCTGGGGTCAGTGCATGAAGATCTGCTCAGGGCCCACCAGAGCTCCATCAAAAAGTGTTGGCCAATAGGGCTTATTTATGTCGGGGCTATCAGGAAACAGGGAGCAGAGGAGGTTATCTGAACTGTAAACACTGCCAGGACTCCACAAACCTCTCTAGGCTTATGTTCACTCCTAAAAGTAACTCTGGGGACGCACCAGCAATTCCCTCAACAGTAGAGAGACGATATGTTCCTGTGATGCAGCAAAATGAAAATTAGAGATCTAAGTGGCTCTGAATGACTTTGTACGTCTCCATGGTGCCACGCAACACCATGAGGAAACCTTCAATCTGGCTCTGAGCAAAATGGGGTTTCTCTGCAGCCCAGTGGTCTCCTGCAGAGGCATTAGCTCAAGTCCTAGCAGAAGCGTGGGAAATGGAAGAAAGGATACAGCTGATGAGATGATGAGAAGCATCTCTCATTGCCAGACAACATGCTCCCCAAGTCATTGATAATGGAGGATGCAAAATCTCTTTAGTAAGTCTATGACAGGCTGCAATATTGCCATGCTCCTCTAAGTGAATTCATTAAGTTTCTTCCAACTTCCTAAAAGGTAGTTATTAGCGTAGGCAGAACATCCTGCCAGCCTGTACAGACTTGTTATTGAGTTAGCCTCTTCTCTGCCAGCTTCAGGGATCTAGGTCTTATAGTGTTGAAATACTCTAAAGAACATGGTACTTACTATGTTTTTGTTTTGAGATTAGCTGGCCTGAAGCAAGAAGTGAACGACTTACTTTCTATTAGTGAAGACAATGCAAAAGTGGCATCTTAGCTACAGACTCACACCCTGCCCTCGGTTCTGCGTACCTTCCCCACCGTCTGCAAGGCAGCACCGCACAGTGGAAGGCAATATGCACACATACTCTGAGCAGGAAGACCTGGAGTTACTTCAGTTATGAAAGCAGGTGGCTAAATAAATAAAACTGGGCTGGAACATGGTGTTCGCAATGAAAGATGTCATCTTAGACTCCCTGGCTCTTCATCATACTTGGCTGAACTGCCGAAGCACGAAGAAGTAAACTTCAGGTCATGAAAGATTTTGTTGCCGGAGTAACACACAGAGGCATCACCTTTTCTGCACAAGTTTCCACAGCAAATCTTAAAAACCTTGTGCCAGCTCTTCAGACCTAGCTTGAGCGGGGAAAGCTCAAAAGAGTGCTGAAATAGAGATCAGAGACAGAAAGATCCTATTGCAAATCATGAAGATTTTCTCCCTTTTTAAGGATGCATGGCTGTGGCAAGGGTAATGCCTCAGAGCAGAAACAAACATCTGAGTGTGTTACTCTTCACTTACCACTCCAAAAAATAGTCTTTGAGTCTAGTGAGACTTTTCTGCATGAGTCTTGAAATTTAGGCCAGGCAAGTAAAGCATAAATGCTCGTCAGTTGCCTCACACTTACGACTTGCTGTATTAATAATGTATGGGGCTGTTCACTTCACTTCACGGGAGTATGCCTCCCTGCTGAGAGCTCCAGCAGCTCAGGCAGGTTTGAAGGGCAGGTCGGCTGCCTCTGCTTCTGGGGAGGTACCTTTGGCCAAGGGCAGGGAAGCAACTGAAGGGGACAACTCCTTAAATTACTTTAGTGTGAACATTCAGGTGTCCTCTAAAACCACCCCAGAAGCCTAGGTCTGGAACAATGGGGCTTAACTACTCAGTAAGGGATGATCTTTCTCTGATTCATTGTTGACTTCCGTGCACAGGTTGCTGCTAAAGGTTATCATGAGGTCTCTGAGAGTATAATCCCAGATACTGTATTTTTAGTCACGAATCCTTCCCTTCCAGAATCTCTGACCTCTCCTGCATCGATCCCTGAATTTTGCTGTGCTGGCAACTATTGTGTGAAACTTGGAAAACACTACTGACCACTGTGTTTAAAAGTCCCTCCGACATTTTTGCAAAAATGACTTTATTCGACCCAGCTAGCTTGGATGCCCTCTATGTTCTTAGCTATGCCTACCTAGATGCCCCTTGAAATTTCAGTGGGACTTCATTGCCTTTATAATGTTGCCACAGCCATCCAGGGGTCACCCTCTTCCTCCCTGGTGAGGAGTAATCTTACAATTGCTCAGTTTTGGTCATCTGGAAGTCACTTCCAACTCGTATTTACCTCCTTGGAGCTTAGACTGGACCTAAGTACCAGATTTCACTAGATAGCCCCTAAAATCTTGTTTGCTCACTTATCCCCCCAAAATAATGATGGATCTTAAACAATGGAGGCATCTGGAGTCGAGGTGGTACATGCTTACCTGAGCACAAAGTCATGGGAGTCAATATCGTGGCCATACTGAGATTGACGAAGGTTCCCGGAGTTTCCCACGACGGCACACCGTCTACATGTGAAAATGCCTCGTTCTTGCAGTGGATCTCCATCCCCAGGAATGATCCCAAACAGTTCCTTGAGAGTATCATTGATATTCTTAGGACTTTTCTCTCCTTGTAATTTCTGTTGGGAAGAAAAGTCACTCTAGGTTACCAATACAGCTAGCTTTTGCATTAGCAAGATGTAGCTTCAAAAGTCTTCTCAAAGACCATTCTTGCTCATTTAACTGCAGACACTGTGTCTGCTGTGATATGTGTTACAAGGCTCCAGGATGAGAATAGCAGTGTGAAGAAAGAAGTGGAAGACTCCTTCCAGTAACTTTTAATATAGTTCCCTTTCTTCCCTCTGTTTCCTCAAACTGTCTCACCTTTTCATTCTATATCTGACAATGGTGGAAAAGATCACATATTCTCCCTGAGCACTGAACCTGGCAAAACAGACAATCCTCTGGTTTCTAAAAGCCCAATGCAACCTTGACCCAGATATCTCCTGCTAGGGCATGTGTAAGATTTCTTTCTACCCTCAAAAAAACGGCAGAAAAGTATCAGGAAATGGATGGAGCACTGAAGAGGGGCACAGCAAGCAGAAGTAGCCATGGACCCTCCTTCCACAAATCTTAGTGAATGCCAGAAGTGAAAGTGGGAGATCTCATTGCTGTTATCTTGCACTGTGGTGGAATCAGCTGCTCGTGGAATAGGAAGCTGAAGTAGAGTAGAGTTAGCCCTGAGGGCTGGAGAAGTATAACTATCCAGGATGAAGAAAACCATCCCGGACCTAGGTCAGTGTGTCTGTTGCCATGGAGGGAAATTCTTTTGTAGTAGCTCTGTCGTGCATGGTGGAAACAATGGTTGAATTTGGAAGGTGCAGAGCAGAGAAGCAGGTGACAGTTAGACACTCCCTTTCTGGGGCTCTGCTCTCTGAAGGCTACTACATGGTTTAGGAGTGCTGGCGAGCTCACAAAAAAGCGTTGCCCATTCTTCTTGGTGCTGCTTGCTTGCAAGGAGAAGGTCCCAAGGGGAGAAAGGGTCATAATGCAATAACTGCCAAAAGGCTCTGCAGTTGTTCTGCAAGCCCAGAGCAAGGAGGGACAGGGAGACAGGGAGGGAGCTAGGAAGATTCCCTTTTCCCACGACTCCCAGTGACATTCCTGGGGCATTTGATTTAATGCCTGCGGTATGGAGGGCAGTCTGCGAGCACGCCGCTGCTGCCAGCATGCTAGCTGGTGCCAGGAGGTTGGCATCCCCTCTCCGACTGCCATAGATGTACACCAGGGATATGCATGCTTGACAACCAACTCTTTACACTACATTAAAAAAAAAAAAAAGGGTGTCTAGATCAGGGGAGTTTCCTAATCATCTTCCCAGGGAAGACAAACTATCCTGTCCTCCCAACCTTACAAATGACCTGAACACCCCACTTCACATCCAGAGCTCTACTAGAGGCACCGCTGGTTTTCTACTTTGCCTCTCTTTAGCTTCACTTCTATTAACAGCTCTTTTTGCATCTTCTTATTAACAAAGAAAGAAAGAAAAAAGCTCTGAGTTTATTCACTTCCTTTCTTTACGCATGAACACATTTCTGAGGAAAGGCTTGGTGCTCATTCTCATGCCACTGTGCATACACATCCACTAAGGATGACCAGGGACCTTGTAATTTGCTGCTTTTATAAACTCCTTGGAACGCTTTCCAGTATCATCATATCACCAGTGATCAACAAGAAACTATCCACACGCCCGTCTTCATGCATATCACAAGGGGAGGATGTAGATTACATAACTTCAGCCAATGCTGCCCAAAATTAATTGCTTGGAGAGGCAAGGAAGCAGCTATTGGTTAGGAAACTGTGGAGGAAAGCTATCCAGCATCAACTAGACAAGTTTGGCGTCATGTTAAGCACGTCTTCAAAATTCCCAGATGCTAGCATGTAGACATCATCCTGCTTGGGGGCTGGCAAGCACTGGCGTGGGCACCGAGGTGGGCCCTGAACAGCAGCTGGCGCCACTGGGATGCTCTTCTGAAACATAGCCCATGAAGCCTTGAGGAGCTTGCAGACTTAATATAAAAACCTGGCAGAAAAGGGTGCATCAGTACCATTTCTTCGTGGCTTTCTTTCTTTCTTTCTTTTTTTTTTTTTAGTGTTTTTAAAAGATAAAGAGGGAACAAAGCCCCATGACACTCTTTTGCACAGCGTCTAATTGCATTGAGGAAGCAGCTCTGAGGAATTAGCGCTCACGCAGCCCTTCCCATCTAGAAGACATTGTGCAAAGATTAATCCTAGCAACAGTCTGGCAGGGCAAACCCAGGTAATCTCCATTTTGCAGGCTGAAGGAGAGGTTAGAGGGAGACTATCAATTTTAAGAATGCCTCCTTGGCCTGGAAAGGATGACATTATTATTGTTATATTTAACAGCCTGCAATTACTCCAAATCAGAGAGATTAAGGTGAAGAATATAGGAACTTTCAGATGTTTGGGTTGGCTTTGTTTTACGATTTGTATATCTATTAAATAACACGCGTTCTCAAATATGAACATAATATGCATATATTATGCAAATAGCATGTAATAGGCATAGGCTAAGTGGTATGATTTGTAAATTTTAGCGCTGGCTGTTGCTGGTTTCCTTTCCTGCTTATATGGGCAATATTGGCCAACTCCACGCTGCTATAAGGAGCAGAGCCACCGCCTCACCAGCCTTGCGTGCCTGTATTTCTGGCTCTAGGATGCTGGCAGCTTGACAGAGTGCTCGAGGGCAGCCTGGGCTCAGGACATCTTCAAATCCACCCGTCCGTGCCGAAGACCGTAGGCTTTGCTGAAGGGTAGCACAGGTTCAGGCGTTCTCTCCCAGTATGTCCAAGGCTTGTCCAAGCGGTGGGCTTGGACCCAAGCGGTATTGGCCCAGGGCACATGTGGGTTTGTAGCTGGTGTTCGGGCTAGGGACTGGGACCTCATTTGGGTTCTCTCGGCACTACCTTGTGGCAGGGAACACGCTCCCTCCAAGGCGCTGGGAAGAAAACTGTTGTTTTTCCTTCAAAAATCACAGACGGTGTCCCAGTGCTAAAGAAGACTTCTTGTGATCAAAGCATTTGGGCAAAATATCTATAATAAGCACTCCAAAGGAATGACTCGGATCCCAAGTGGCCGTGACAGTGTCTGAAAGAGAACTGTACCTTCCACGACTTCCCCAACGCCTGCCTTGGGGGTGCCGTTTTATGTGCTGTCTGGTTATCAAACCTTTAAGCCATCTGTTATAATTTCCCTTCAGTCATGAGGACCAAATAAGGACTAAAAGGACTACAGAACCGTAAGGTCTAAAAGCTAACATTTTCTGTCAGAGGCAGGATGAGAGATTCTCAGCTAATCAAATGACCCCAAGAGCTGAGCTTTTTCTCTAAAAAAAAAAAGAAAAGCCAAACCCTCAAATATCATAAGACTCAAGATAAAAACTGTTATGATGTGGTAGTTTATGAACAATGTGCTACAGATAAGATTCCTAGGAAACTCTGAGCCTGATTTTACTTATCACAGTTTTAATTCATCAACGTCAACTGAGTTATTTTGGAATTAGAATAGCAGACTTTGATCTCCTGTTTTTTATACTTTCTGACCACCAAGAACAAAGTAAAAAAACTCAGAATAGACCAAGAAAACTATAAATAAATGCTATGCAGTGTTACAACACGTAATTCTTGTACTCCTTCCTTATATACGGGTTACTGAATTTGGTGGAAGTGTCCACAGCATTTGTGTCATAGAACAACAATGAAAAAAAAAACACAGAGGTGAGTCACCTCACGGAGGTGGGAGAGAAAATATAAACAGAAAAGAACCGCATCACGTAACATAATGTGCCAACTTCCAGAACAGTGAGACTCTCTCAGTCCTTGAATGTGAGATGAGAAAAGAGAGACAGACAGAAATAGAGGCACAGGTAATGAAGAGACAGAGGGAAGGGGAAGGGAGGAGAGTAAGAAGGAAAGAGGAGAGGAGAGGAGAGGAGAGGAGAGGAGAGGAGAGGAGAGGAGAGGAGAGAAGGAAGGAAGGAGAAAGAAAGAAAGAGAAAAGAAAAAGAAAGAAAGGAAAAAAGGAAGAAAGAGAAGGAGAAAGAAAGAGAGAGAGGAAGGAAGGAGAAGATAGGAAAAGAAAGACAAACAAAAAAGACAAAGAAAGAAAGAGAGAAAGAAAGAAAGAAAAAGAAAGAAGGATAGGAAAGAATAACAGAAGAAAGGAAGGAAAAAGGAAAGCAAACAAGCTAGCTAGTAAAACAAGCCTGCAGTATTACAGCTGCCCGGATCATCTCTGAGAGGAGGAACCCACAAAAAGCACAGAGCAGCTACAGGGGTGTAACCAGGAGGAGAATTTGGGCCATCATGTGTTACCTCACAGAAGGAACACATCAGCTGGGCAGATTTAAGCAGAGTAGTAACAGCCGTAACAACAGCCGCCTTTGTTTCTGTGAACAAAGACACAACCAGGTCAAGTTTTACCCATTTTCAGCTTACAATTTGGAGGAAGCCCTTCAAAGTGCTGCAGGGCCGCTTCCGAAAAAGCTAATTTATGGCCAGGAGGGGCTGGGCCTTCTCCTCCCTTCTGGGTCCCCCCCTGCACGTGTGGAACAACTCACTCAGCTACGCACCACACCATTTTATACACTTTTCCACAAAAAGGCCGCATCCTACCAAGCTGGAAGGGCTTGAAGTAGACCATATATTCTCCAAACATACTATGAAGCGGGCTGCCAGCAATGTGAAGCGGGTAAGCCCACGCCATCCTTAGACCCAAGTAACGTTTCGTCTCAAATATCTGCCGTTGGCTTCTGAAGCTGGTCATTGCTTTCCTAGAAGGGGAGGGACGAATGCTCCAGGATTATTTTGGTATAATCCTTGAATAATCCTTATTCCCACATAAAGGAAAAGGGTTAATGAGAGCCGAGGGCAGAAGCAGGTTGGTAAGCTGACGGCGCCCTGGCAGGAGCCCTGTTTGTATTTAGTCCAAGCACACCACGTGGGTCTCCCCTTGATGTGAAAGTCGGGGCGCTACAATAAATAGCTCCACTGCAGTTGCAGGAGTCTTGATGACAGCATAACAAAACCACCATGCCGTTTTAAGTCAGTTTCTGTGAGCTACCACGCGGTCCTTCTTCCCTTGAATTGAAGTTTAAGCAACAACCAGTCACCTCAGATTTCCTCAGTGCCTTATCTTTTAAGCACAAATATAGCCAAAAGGTCAGAAATTACTGAGCTGATAAAAACAAATGAGAGTCAAATATGGACACGAGCAATGTTTTCATTAAGACTGATAAAAATCTCAGAATCATTTAAGATAAGAATAAAAATGAACAAGCCCCTATAAAACAAAAAGGGATTGCAATGAGGATGTACCTGAGTTATTTACTGTAGAAACTGCAATGACTGTCTTAAAGGTTACCCAGGGCAACATGCATTTAATTGGAATTAAGTTACAATGAGGAGCTGAGGCTACGTCATGCCTTGATTTACCCAGAATCATCTTTCAGAGGAGAGAAAGCACATTCTCCTTTTATAGTAGATCAGGGCAAGTAGTTTTGGTGAGTAGCTAACTTCCCAGACAAATTGCAGTTTTGGGGGACACCAAAATAGTTCACACATTCTGGATGAAGATAAATTCTGGCTGAGAAAAAAAAGGCAGAGAAAGTGTAGAAATATTAGAATATTTATTTACATCACCTTAGGAAAAAAATTGCTTTGATTTTTTTTTTTTTTTCTGAAATAGTGTATTCCCTTTGAATTTGACCTGGATTTAAAAAAATGAATGAAAACACTAAAAATAGGGTTAGATAGCTTAACTACCCTGCCTCCACCCTCAAACTGTTTTCGGTTGACCTGAAGTGAGCTATTCTTGGGTTTTTTTCAGTTTCACCACAAGCAGGACAATCTGAAGTTCAGACTTCCCTACTGAAAGTACCAAGGATTTTTTTTTTTTAAATGAGAGAATGCTTTTTAGCCATATGTTTAAAATCAAAGTTCCGTCTGAAGGCAGACTTCAGCTGTGCTTTGGCCTGCAGAACAAGCCTTCAGGGGAAATCACCCTCATCAGAGACCCCTTCCTTACTAAGGAGAAGTGTCTGCTGGCTGCAAAAAGTAAAAAAAAAAAAAAAAAAACCCCCCACGCCACTGGACATAAGAAGCATGGTCAATGAGAAAGTGAAAGAATCCAACAGCTGGAATATGTGATATTAATAGCAAAAAAAGGTGGGTTTTGTTGTGTCACAACATGTTTGGACATGATGTTTGGATGAGCCTCTTTAGACCGCCCTGCTCAGAGGACACCCAGAAGCCACTAGTCTTCAGCGACCCGCTCCTGCAATACACGGCTCGTGCACGCTATGCATCTGCTTTACGGCATCGGCTAGAATGGGGATCGTGCTTATATACACAGAAGTGATCATTCTGGGTTTAATCCTGCTAATTATTTAAGTATCTTGTGGTGGGGAGAGGCCCAGGTGAATTACACGTTTTATAACTAGTTTTCCTTCTTAGCTGGTTGCTCATAACCTCAACAGTGGCAAGAACGCCCACTATCCTCCACCTCTGCCTGCCTTCTCAACAGAGACTCCAGCTGTTTTGGGAGGAAAACCATGTCCCAGAGCCCCGTAAGCACTGTGTCAGACTCGGGCCGGCACCCATACACTTACCAGCCACCACCTGTAGCTGTCTTCTGGGATCAAGGCATCCCGTGAGGTTAGGAAAGGTTGCATAGTTTGATTAAATCTCTGATCAAACCAGAGGGAACGTCCTCGCTCTGAAACACACGTGGTACAGCTGCATGGTCTCCTGGGGTATTTGATGAGTTTTCTGAATTGTTCAGAAAACTGCATGATGATGTGCTTAAGGTCCCAGGTGGTCATGGTCACCTGGTGCTTGTAGTTGAGCAGAAATGACGTTATTGTGATGAGCAAAAAGGCGAACGTAAACATTTTCACGTTCCTTTTCCTTACGGTGACCATCTTTCTCGTCCAGGTTCTGCCGCCTCAGCTGCCGAAATACAACGTAGGGTCCAAAGTAAGGCAAAACGGAAACGTTGCTGGGCTTTCAGGGAACGCTGGCCAGTTAGCACCAAGGACTTAGGCTGAACGTACCCATTTCGAGACCTCCGTCAATGAAGGAAGAAGTTTCATTTTCCCCAGGTGGGCTTAAAAAAGGCAAAGCTGAGTGTTTTCTTGCACGTTTTAGGAGTGGTTCTACATCTTTCAACTTTCTGTGCACTGCAGCTAATCTCTCCCACTGAGGTTTCAGTGAAAACTGATCCTTTCCCTTCCACGTTCCAGACGATTTAGAGATGAATAATATCAACATTCAATTTAAGGTTTTCCGTATGGGAGCAACATACAGATTAAAGGAACCAGATTGTGGAAAAAATAGTTTTGTTTTGTTTCGTTTTGCTGAAAGTTAGTTCACAAAGGATTAGATCAGCCTGGGATATATGTTCCAGCAGAGAGAGGTGCTTTGATGTTCATTTAAGCCAAGGACAGCAGTTTGCAGCCTATAGACACACACACACACACAAAAAGAAAGAAATGAAATCAGAAAGTTTTCTGCATTTCTCCCAACTTAATTTCTTAATTTTAATTTCTTTCCTCATCACAAAACTTCCAATCACCTCAGAGCCTTCAGAACAGAAGCAGCTGCAATTTCTGCTCTGGGATTTGCATATTGAGAAGTTTCACACTGAAATTTCCAAAAGGGCAGAGCACTGACCTGTGGACATTGAGTCCCTGTGTATTGAATTAGCTGCAGCATTCTGGCCTTATTGGAAGTACGGTTTGCAGCCCTTTCAGTGGCAATGAGTTAGCTTATTCCCTTAGGCTGATCTTGACAACCGCAAAATACACAACGCATTCATAACTAAAACCAGCTGAACAAAAAAGGAGCAGGCAAAGGAGGGAGGAGGCAGGACAGGGAAGAAGAGGAATTGCTTCCTTTCCCTCCCTCCCGCAACAGGCATCATTTCCTAAGGATCAAGCTTGAATCGGTGACGCAGAAAATGCCGCGCGAGAATAGCTCATAAATTCTGGGAAAACTGCAGAACTTGAGGCATAAATGGCATTTTTTTGGCTAGATTATGACTATTTTCTGTGTTGCTGCCAAGGAAGGCTACGTAAGGCAAGCTTTTGATCTCAAAGAGTTCCCATGGGATGCTGAGCTGGATAGAGACCTGGAGCGCTGCTCTGCCTCGACCAGCTGGCTGGGAGCAGTACCCGGAGCAGTGATTTAAATAAGTCAACAAGTTTTTGAAAGCTGAAGAGTGGATCGCTTTCCTCCTACGGTATAACTATTCTACGGGAAGAAAAGGCACTGCAGCCTTTTTTTTTTGTTGTTGTTTTTTCCCATTGAAGAACTTTGCAGAAAACTGAAGTGACATTGTTTAAATGACATTTTTATTTAAAAATTAAAAAAAAATGGTAGTTCTAGTAGGTTTACATCTATAATGAGAAGCATATGTGCCAAAACACATGCAGTTTTAATAAAAAAGTAGAAACTCCAGCAAAGGAAGCCTTACTCGTGGGCCTTTCCTGAGGCTCCGGGGTGATCTGGGAGGAGCTGCCCAAGGCCACACTGTTTTTCAAAGGGATTTGATGTGGTGTCTTGGAGACAGTGCAGGCCTGGTTTTTTGAGGGGTTCTGTAAACATTTACCGAATCTGAGAAAGCTAAATCCAAAGGCAGGAGCCTGAGACTGTGATCTCAGCCCTCTGCCCTGTCTCCGGTTTCCCATTTAGAGCTGGTGATGGGTAGCCAGGGCCATTCAATTAACTGCTGTTTGACAAATGCCTTGAGATTTGTTTTAAGTCAGGCCTACACAAATGCATTTATGGGATCTCAAGGACTGACAAGTGTATAACGCTCAGCAGCAAAAGGCTTTATTAACCCCAGCTGCTCAGGCTTTCAGGCTTGGCCTGTACCCGTAAATTAAACCGCAGAGGGGAGCAATCCCGGGTGCGGGAGCTTGCATGGCTCTAACATGAGCTTGGGCTTTGGGGGCTTGCCATCACTCTCGCAACCATTCCTGACTATGATTTGGGACTTACCTCCCAAAAGCCACCCTATTTTGGAGAGCAAGAAAAGGAATTTAACAGCACAGCCACAATACACAGGCGAACGCTCACCAGCTGGCCTCTGTGCCAGAGAAGGGTCCCGAGCACATTGGCTTTACCAGTGTGCATGCAGTCATTAGTCTAAACAAAAATACAGCTTCTAAACCCAAAAACCTATGCTAAATCCCCAAAGTAGATTCTCCATTTATAGGCCAGGTAATTCAAAAGTTGTGATGTCAGTGGGTTGAACACCAGTGCTGTTAACGCTGAGACTATTCATTCTTTGTAAACGTAATTCCTGTTCTTTTATTCTTTCTTAAGTGGAGGAGGGATGGAGATTATTTAGCTTTTCATGAGAAAGCCTATAAAATGATTATTGTTTATATAAGAGTGCTTTTGGACCTCCAAAATAAACACACACTTCACTAGATTTTTTTTTTAATTGATCTTAGGTTAAACATATATTTAGAACTGGGAAAAAAGTATGTTGTTTACACGGTGCAGCGCAGTGTCTCCAAACTCCTAATCATACTTGCTTTTATAGCACATGACGGCAAGGTGAGAAACCAGAATTCCCATGGCCCTTTTCCAGTGAGTAAACATACATCAGATACTCTATTTTAATTCTTGCTACTTATAGTTTTCTATGAACGCTCATTTTCCTACAGGCACTGACGATAAAAAAAAAAACAAAAAACACCATATCCTGACAGAATGGCTCTGGTGACTATAAATATGATTTAGGGCTTGAGGCAAAGGCATGCCAAAATGAAAAGAAAATGCCTTCATCAAGTTCCCTGTGACTTGGACCAAGCTCATTCTTTTCTATCTTAACCGCTAGTTAAATACATCATAGGCACCAGTATTTTCTCTTTTGCAGTCCTCCAGGTGGGCAGCTGGCCATGTCAGAGCTACTCCACTGGTACCTGGGGCTCTAACTGGGTCGGTGCCACCAAATCCAGCTTTGGAGAATTCCCTTTGCCTCATGATACCATCTGGGAAATTTAATTCAAATAATTACGAGGAAGTAGTGTGGTCGCAGCTGATCTGAGCCCGTATCAATATGCCTCAACATGACCTTGCCATTAGTCCATCTACGAATGGGTCAGGGTATATTGGGCTCAGACCCATAAATAATTTATGAAGACTTAAGCTATGGAGACTTAAATGACTTGCCACCTCTCGGCCAAGCTATAGAGTTAAGTAGAGTTTATATATGTTACTTCTGCTGCTGGCTGTGCATGTGGCTCCTATCACAGCTCAGCTGAAGTAAACAATATATTAAGCTACCTTAAGGGATTGGGTGCAGAAAGTCTTATCTCCAGCCCGGATTTCTCTGCCTGCTTTTTCATTTCCTACTGCTTTCCCACTTACACCCTTTTCCTGGGAAAGGTATCTCCGTACACACCGGGATTACTCTTACTTCCGTTGCCAAGTCACAATATCCAGTGACAAGCAATGCGAGTAAAATGTAAAATTACATTTCCCAGGCAAGAATATAGAAGGACAGGTTCTTCTGCGTTATGCCCTAGGGGTAGGAGAGGTTCCAAGGTGATTATATGGTCATAAAAGAGAGCAGACTTTAGTCTTTTGTCTACATTTTATGAACCAAAATAAAATATCCTGAGATCAATCCACTGTGATTGATTGTCTTCATTGTCTTCTCACATTTGAGAAAGAAGGAACAGAAAGAACTTTTTTTTCATGGTAGACCTTTTCTGCATTGTACACTCCAAATTTGAAGAATGTCCTTGGATCCCTGCCAGTTATACAATTAACAGACAAAGATGAAACTGCATGAATTCAATGAACTACTGTAAAGAAGTTCTTAACACCTTTAGCAAATAAATCCTTTGACAAATCCATTCGAAAATGCAATGTCTTCTCACCATACTGAGTCAGAATAGTGGTGGGAATTTTTGTGTGCTATTACAAATCAAATCAGGCACAGGTAATTTCATTGGAAATCCACAATTTCAAGAAAATTTCATTCCGGAATGAATGACAGTAAATCATCTGAGCTAGCCAAGTGGTATTTTGTTGAGGTCAGACCTAAATGCCTCATGTTGATAACGGTCAAATCGTTTCTTGACCATTTTTATCTGTTTTTAAATATGCAGATTCTTTGAAGAAGCTATTTTGAAACAGAAGATAGAAATTTTCCATTCTCAGGATGTTACAAGAGAATATTTCAATATCAGTGGAATGTTTCATTTCCTGATTTTTTTTTAAGGTGGGTCTTAAATAAAAAGCATGACTCAACTATTCATTGCATATTGGCAAAAAATTACTATGCCTCCTCCTCTTCCCCCCGCAAGCTGCAATGTAACCACACTATGGTAGAGTTTGACCTCTTTTTGCTGACTGCTTTGCTAGAAGATAAGTACTTCGTATTAGCACCCTTCGAAGAGATATTTGCTAGCTCGTATTAGACGCTGACGGTTCAGGATCCCACCCTTGCTACTTGCCTTCTGGTTGTTACACACAGCAAAATGCAGGTATTAAATATATTTCTCTAGTTCAATGTCACCAGCATTTCGCAGAGCCAGTATATGGGGCAGAAGAGCACACAGGCAACAAGAACCAGCATCCTCCTTACTGAGATATCTCTTTGCAATGACTTTCCAGTCATTGCATTGCTTGAATAGTTCCAACATTCGTTCCTAGAGTGCTTTACACATGGGAACCGCTTCCCCATTCTCCTCTGTGCGCTGTCACCCCACTGGAGACCAGTGAAGGACAACACAACCTGCCACAGCTCTCTACACGTAGCCATAACACAACCCACGGTATTTTGCACATGGAAAAAGTATATGTGTCAAGGAGTAGAGGAGATTTGCTTCAACAGACCATTCTATGCTAGAGACTCCTCCACGGCAGCACTGTAAATGCCCAGTTTTAGAAGCACAGCTTGGCTCACCAACCCAACTGCAAAATCTCCAAATACTAATTAGTTTGCCGGTATAGCTAAGCCACTTCTGCAAATGACAGCTTTATCGTTATAAAACCTTGCGGAAATACAAACTGCATTTCCTCAAGGCGGAAAGTGGTTTGTTGCTGCTGTTCTGGGACTCCTCCACATACACACTCCTGGTGAGTAACTCCTTGAGCAACGCTTGGTCACATAGCCCTGGTCTGCGACGCACCGAGAGCATGGGAAGTTAAATCTTGTTCTACTGCACCTATGAAGGCCTGGGGCAGTCTTGGAAGATGTCACCCCAGTGCAACAAAATAATCCGTCCCTGCAAGAACATGAATAAATTTCTACCCCGGGTTCGTGCTTAGACCTAGAAAGGAACAATGGACAGGACTGTCTTATTTGAAACCACAAGCTTGTCTGCCCTGCTGCAGCTCATCACTGGCTACTTTTCACTTCCTATCCCATTCAGTAGCTGGCTGACATTTAGAAAGAAACGTTTCACTGGTCTGACACCTTGCCA